TAATCAAGGAACTACCAGAGGAAAAAATAGAACAAAACAAAACCCCCACCCCCACCAACCCTGGCAGGGCCTGCCACAATATATAAACAGAGAGCAAACCCCATTCCAGACTAGCACGGAAGATGTTATCTAGCTGGGTAATGAAACGTTTGCAAGAAAACAACCAAGCTCAGAGAACCCCAAGGACTCCACAATAAAATGACCCCATTCCACCAAAGAAACTTGGGAGAAAAAATACAGAACACCCTATTCTCATGAAATATGAATGATATAGCCCTTCTCATTTTTTTGAATCATCTCCTCACCCACCATGCCTTCACTTCCCAACCATTAAAAACACCCTTCAGCCTTGAAAAGGATGGCTGCTCTGTGATGCTTATTGCTATGCAAAGTAGCCTATGATGTTGATTAAATAATTTGTGTAAATTGTTAAGTTACTGTTTTCTCTATTCAGACATTACTGTGCCTGTTTTTTACAGATAATTCTCTGCAGCAAAGTACTCTCATACTAATGCAAATCCAGGCAATAGGAATGGTGAAATCTGTCAATACCTGTGGTCAGCATCCCAGAATAAGGATCTGTAGGAGAAAAGCAAAGGTTCTTCTGAATTCTTCGGCCACATCTTTTTGTAGCGCGTTGGCCAGTCAAAGCTTCTGATTTGTTCATATTATTCCTAAAAAGCATAATGTCAGTACAGTACATATCCTAGGAATAATCACTAGCTTGCCTCTGAGATTCTGCTTGCACGATTCCTCATTTTTCATGATAAGAATACAAAGTAAGAAATAAATAACATAATCTAAACATACATATGAGCTAAAATATGTGGCCTTTCATTTATTTTGCTTTGTTTTTAACTATTTAATTCACCAATAATGCAAAACTTCACTGCAGAAAATTTGCCATCTGAGACTCTCTTTCATTGGCCAGAAATACTAAGGTCCAATACTAATAATATTCTGCTTACCGGTTTCTCACCAGCTACAATTAACAAGGTGTATAATTAACAAGGCAGGATTCCTACTGGTGACTTACAGCATCTTCTAGTGTAATCCTACCACTATTGAGTCAATATAACTATAGTGAGGACAGACTTTACATCTTCAACAGTAGTTGGGTGATACAAAGATGTTATAAGTCAGTAGTGGGGAAATGGCCTGAGAACTGCACCAAACATACAACTGGAAACACAGGAACTATGTACAGATTTTTTGCTACAATGTGGTAGCTGGATGCAGATTGCATAGACCACATCCACATCGTGCCTGCCTATTTTGTGAGTAGATAAGGAGCCACACACAAATAAACAAACAAACAAACAAATGTGGGGGAGGGACAACACCAAAGCTGTAGGTATGGTAGAACCAATCTTTATAGATTAGATGAGGAGACTTAGAAAAGGATAGAAACTGAGTTCAACCCCACCCTTAAGTTTTTGATTTCTCTTTTGCCTCTGTTAGATAGCCCAGGTGGTTGTTTTACCTTTCTCTGCCAGCCTGTTCTTCAACAGTGTCTGCAGCACACTCTAGGGAGACTTGCAGAGACTGTAGTTGGTTCATTGTCTCCCGCAGAAGGAAGCGGGTCACAAACTGTTCCATCTTGGAGGAGCTCTCATATACCTGTAGGAGTTAAAGAGGCAGTTGGGTACTGATACTAATTTCTCCCAGAGCTGCTAGAGTAGGGAAAAAGAATATTTTAGGTCAGTGGGAACAATTCAGATTTTTAATACATATAATTGGTACTGTCACAAAATGGCTACCATGCCAAGGGAGGGTGTGTGTTGAATAATCACAAGACAGCTGCCTGCCAAAATGATGGTGGCCACTCCCAAAACACCCAATTTCTAGAAAGCAAACTAGTGATATTGCATGCTGCCAGCTCTTCTAGTCTTCCAATGTGCCCACTAGACCAACCCCAGCTTGATTTCTGGGCAGGTAGGCACACTTCCAAAAAATGGATTGGGCTGCAGCCACCACTATTTTTATTTTTTAATCTTTGGGGGACCCACAGACATTCTTGGAAATAAAGATGATGCTAGAACTTGGTGTTTTGCTTTGTAACATGTTTCTTCTCATTTTTTAAAAATATAGTCTTTTAAAAGCACCCCCAAAACAAGCAGGTGGAACAGGACTCTTTGGTGGCTTGTTCAGAAATATTTGTAGGTGTATTGGTGCCCATTGGCACTATCTGGAATATCTCTGACCAGTGCATCTGACTCTACATAAAAATTCTAGCCTTTTTTTTAAAAGCAAGACACATTGGAAAATCTTGACATATATTATAATACTTCTCACCTATTTTTTTTCCCCAAACAAAGCTATAATGCCTTTTTTCCTTATCTTGGAAAATCTTACCACTGTCTGTAATATATAGCTATCATAATCCAGAATAAGAAGTAACTGTCTATATTACATTAATAGGAAAAAAACAAAACAAAACCAAGGTTTAAAAATGGTAGCCAGTCAACTGTTTGCAGCTGTTACGCAATCCTGGGAAAAGATGTGTCTGCTTTAAAGAGTTGCAGACAGGAGTTATTTTCATACCCTTGCATGCTTGGAAGTACTTATTGCATCTGAATCATTGCCAGTCATTGTGTAAATATACTGCATTAAGGAAGCAGCCTATATACCTCCACTTGCGAATAAGAGGAATTTACTTGACACTTTTGTAAGGTCTACGCTTTGTATAATTTAGTCTCGATCCAATTAAATGAAATTTCCTTTTTTAAAATGCCTTTATATATTTAGCCAGCACAGTTCTATATATATTAACTGAAAATAAAGGTTTTTTATTTAAAAAAATAATTAGATTTGATCTAGATTTACTTATATATACAGTTAACTATAAAAACATAAATAATTTAAGTTCCACTGGTTTTTTTTTTTTTAAACCTACTCTAAATTGGGCCATTTTATTCCACTGATGCAAAAGACTAACGTACTCCATCTTTGAAACCTTTTGAAATAAACCTACATGGAGATTTTGCATAGTATAAACTGGGCCCACATTATAAAGCAGTTAAGTATCATTTGGCAGTTTGTTATACTGACTTTCATCTGAAGTTTTCTATTGCAATGAAATGGAATACATAAAAGTACTTTATCACTGAGCTATGCTACAAGTATAGAGCCTTTACTTTCATGAAGATTGAAACAAAAGATTAATCTTTTGTTTACAAAAGATTACAAAATATTAATCATGCAACCACAGCCCAGGCAATAATATACAGTAATACTGGGAAGCTTTTCTCCTGTGCTGTTTTTCTCTATAATGAATCAGCAACAAGGATGATCCATATAAAACAGCTATTTCAGTTTTCATCCATTCAGATAAATTACTATCATGAGCCTATACCTATTGGACTTGACCTCATTATATAACTATGGATTCATTTATCTAGCATTACTGTTTCTGTCCTGAAACCATCCATATACTCTAGCTATGTGTCTAATAAAATATAGCCATATAATCCTTTTGTTACTAGAATATCTTGGAAGATGCAAGTTAACATGTTGCTAAGATCTCTCCCCACTTCTACCTTCTTCTCTCAAATTGTGTTCCCACAACTACCTTTCACCTTAAGATGCAAGTTAACATGTTGCTAAGATCTCTCCCCACTTCTACCTTCTTCTCTCAAATTGTGTTCCCACAACTACCTTTCACCTTAAGATGCAAGTTAACATGTTGCTAAGATCTCTCCCCACTTCTACCTTCTTCTCTCAAATTGTGTTCCCACAACTACCTTTCACCTTGACAGGTTAACTTCACTTTTGAATTCGGGTTAATTGTTAAGAGGGAAAAGTTCAAGGTACCATTAGGAGTAGCAATCCCCACTAATCCACATGAAATCCTCTATTATCCACACAGACACTTTGGTCCAGCTCCAACTCTTCTTCATGTTTGGCTTGATAATTAGATATATGAACAAGGCTTTGGCTTATATTATACTGCATATTTCTTTCTGTCTTTGCAGTGCAAACAATTCAAAAAGGACACTTTTCTTTTAATTCTGGTTTGTTTTTCGTCTATACAAAGAAGTTAGGGTTATCTGCTCCAGAACAAGTCATGTAGTTAACCAAAGTTTAAAATATGGTTATATATCCTCACTTGGTCCAAAGCCTGGGAGTAAGTACGGATTTCTCAGTTTGGATAAAATGAGAAGCTGCTTTATTGGAGGTTTGTGTAAATGTAGTGAAAAGGCTCAGGACTTCATGTACAGGCAAAAATCTCCTTGGTTTTCCAATTTAATAAGATTTTCTGAACTTTAGTGGTGGTAGTACTACTACTATTTAGTGGTAATCACATGTTCTAGAAACATCTACATTGGCCTGCTTTCAATTTGCATTCCTATTGCAAGACAGGTAAAAGAAAATACACACAATTTAATAATAGCTGTCAGTTACTACAAACTAAATGAAGGACTTGCAAGTTTGTTCAAAATTCAAGAAAGAAAAGCTACCACTTATTCTCAGAAGAAAAAACTTTCTAGAACATTTATAATAGTGTTTCCTATCCCAAGAATCTCCACATGTGTTGGAGTCCCGTCTGTCTGTCTGTCTGTCTGTCTGTCTGTCTATTTATCTATCTGCAACTTTGAGTGGCTACATTCAGGTTAAAACTTTCTAAAACAGCAAACATAGCATGTACAAGGCCAATCTCATTCAAAAACCAGTCAAAATCTCATTTGAAACTTCCATAATTCCCAGTCAGGTTGGAGAATGCTAATTTCAGAAACTTAAACCAAATAATATCCAAAAATAGATGGATGTGCTCTTAATTTACTCTTGGAATTGGTTTGTTAATTAAAATGGATCACATTTGTTGATTAATCTACAGATTGTTTACATTTCTATTCTAGGAATCTAATTCAGGAATAAATCTTTTGACATTTTGTTTTATCACTCCTAATTCATGAACATTTTAATAAATAATAAATAAAAGTAGCAGTATACCCAATTGTATTTTTTTGCTAGATGGTTAAATTTTTTGTCCTTTTTTATTCATGAAAAAATAATATGAATTCTAATTTCTAATTAAATAAGAACAGCAATTATTTTCATTTATTAAATGGAGTACATATTAATAGAAATTTGCCATGTGCTCTGAATTTTAAAGAGTTATATTATGTAAGACACAGAATATGGCAAGAAACCATAAATCACAGGACAGGCTCTTAACAAATAAATTAATTCATCTATAGAAGACCACAATGCATTAATCTTAAACTGATATTAACAACTGTGTTCTGGAAAAAGATACTGAGATAATGATGAGCTGTTACAAGTCAGTTGAGAAAAAATGAGACTGTCATCCAGGAAACTTAGTCTTCAATTTTATCTCTGGCGTACTGTATTGTATATTTTGCCTTGGGTTAGTCATGAACTATGAGGCATATTCTATACTTGTAATTTGGTCAAGATCCAGGGAGATATATGTGCTTGGTTTCTAGTACAAAACTGCAGAATGGCTGTTGCTTGCACTTAAGAACAAGTCAGGCTATACAGTCATCATCATCATCATCATCATCATCATCATCATCATCATCATCATCATCAAATAATAACATCTGCCTATCCCAGGTCCTTGGGAAGGACTTGATAGATGGATAAAAATGCCAAATCCAGTCTAGGCATCTGGCTGACAGTGCAACCAACAATAATAATTGATAAAAAATTAATAAAAATAGAAATAGAAAAGAGGAAATGGTTCAATAGTGCATCCTTTACAGAGGATATTATTAATATTACTGCTACTAATTTTCATCATTGTAGAAAAAGGAGAAGGAGGAAGAGAAAGTCCAGTCAATGCACAGTGTGTTAACTGAAATTATAAGAAACAAGAAAATTAATGACCATAAATCATGGTTTCCACCCAAGAAGTGATGTTGAAAGACTCTACTTTGCCAGAAGTAAAGTGTGTGTGTGTGTGTGTGGGGGGGGATTATTTTGAGTAAAACAAAATGTGGAAGAAGAGAAACATAGCTTGAATTACTATATCAGGTACAGCAAGGAACCACTACTGGTAGAATTTTGGAAAGAAAAAATACTAAAGAAGCAAAAGATTACAAAAAGGAAGGAACTGAAAGTTGAATTAATGCCAGAAAATCAGACCAAAATATACCTATGGAAAAGTGCCTAGAACCCTGCCAGGCAGCCTGACCTGGGATGGTTGGCATTATCTGGGTGAGTGGTGGTATCCTACATCCTGGGCAAGAGCTGGCAGAGTTCGGAGGAGAGTATTTTGAAGGGGGAGGCAAGAGTGTATAGTAGCATTGCAGTTGTGATGGGCAGATGAGATATGATGGGAGAGAGGAGCAGACCACTCACAGTTAAGGTGTCCTCATTGTCTTGTACTGATTCCGCCTTCTGGCTCTTTGTTCTCAACCCCAAGACTTGGTCACTGGATCCATGGTGGCCTCATCTTAGGCTGCTGCTTCTCAGTGCCAGGTTGGCTTGCAGTAAGGCTCTCCTCATGCAAACTCTTATTTTGCAACAGAAGCGGATTGGCTTGTATTACTGAAGCCTAGATGGGCATAGAAGGGGGGATCCTCCTTTTGGAAATGTGCCCTCCTGGTTTTCAGGTGTGGCACCAGCCACAATCTCAGGGCAGGGACGGGGAA